CTCCTCCTCCTCCTCCTCCTCCTCCTCCTCTCATGCATCCCTCATTTCCCCCAGGCTTGAAACCGTCAAAAGTTGTCCGTTGTTTTTTTTTGACAATGACGTGACGGTGTATGCCCCCCCTCTCGTCTTTCGTTTTCCCCTCCACTGAGCCCAAACGTCCAGTATTTTTTGCCGCTCCAATCAGAGCCTTCAGAGCCGCCCGAGCCCCGTAACATGTTGCATCTCGCGCCGCCGATCCCAATTCTGGAAGGGAAACTTCGGCGCGCACGCACGCTGGCCGCCGCACTTGCGCCCGAACAGTCGACGCAAACCGCTACAGGACAACCCCCGATCGGAACCGTGGCAGCACACGGGCCAGCATCGCGCCAGAGACGCTACTGCCCCCAGGGGAGGAGGGGAAGCGGGAACCAGGGAGGAGGAGGAGGAGGAGGAGGAGGAGGAGGAGGAGGAGGAGGAGTGTAAACCCAAGAGAGTCATTAACGATGTTGGAGTAGACCCTCCCTCCAAGCTCCCTAATTATAGGCCTCTACAAGGGCTCATTTCCATTGATGAGACTGCCCCGTTGGAAGACACCCGTTTGAAGACTCCGAGGCATGCTAAGATATTGTTCTCGGGATTCCAACGCCACGGATCAACTTCATTGTTGCGTCTTGACGATCCTGAACCTTGCCAGAACGCCATTCCTAGGACGTCCGCACAGAGAACCAACGTAACTGCTGCACCCGCATAATCCTGAATCCTTCGAAAAATATTTCTGCGACGTTGAGCATGGGAATCTGTGAAACTCTTGAAAATTCTGTAAATGAATGTGCGCTGCTCTACGGCGAGAGCCACATATTGAAAAGAAAGCGCTTTCAATATGTGAGATTCCTGCGTTTTGTATAACGAATGCGCGCGGCGCCAAAGCGAGAGCCAAATTTTGAAAACCACCCGCTATCAATCCGTGAAACTCTTGCAAATCTTTGAAATGTATGCGCGCCGCGCTAAGGCGAGAGCCACATGTTGAAGACGACCCGCCTTCAATCCGTGAAATTCTTGCAAATGTTTAAAACGAGTGTGCGCCGCTCTGAGGCGAGAGCTACATTTTGAAGACCACCCGCTTTCAATTCGTGAAACTCTTGCAAGTATTTAAAACGAATGTGCGCCGCGCTAAGGCGAGAGCCACATTTTGAAAACCACCCGCCCTCCATCTGTGGAACTGCTGTCTCTTTTTAAGTTTCAGAATCATAAATTGTGAGGAAGTCTCAGGCCAAACGCCCGGCCCGCCCTAAAAGCTGGCCTCGGGGTGCGACAGGGAGAAATTATTTATAGGGAAAAAGGATGGAGGACGGGGAGGAGGAGGAGGAGGAGGAGGAGGAGGAGGAGGAGCAAGGGGAGGAGGAGGAGGAGGACGAGGAGGAGGAGGAGGGGAGGAGGAGGAGGAGGAGGAGGAGTGGGAAGGGGAGGAGGAGCGGGAGGGGAAGGGGGAGGAAGGAAGGGAGCAGGAGGAGAAGGACGAGAAAAAGGAGGATGTGGGAAGGAGGGAGGGAGCGGAGGCGGAGGAGGAGGAGGAGGAGGAAGAAGGGCAGGAGGGAGGAGGGGCAGAGGCGGAGGCGGAGGTGGAGGTGGAGGAGGAAGAGGGGGAGGAAGAGAGGAGGGGAGGAGGAGGAGGAGGAGGAGGAGGAAAAAAGGAAGAAGAGGAAGAAGAGGAGGAAGAGAAGGAGGAGGAGGAGGAAGAGGAGGAGGAGGAGGGGGAGGAGGAGGAGGAGGAGGAGGAGGAGGAGGAGAGAGAGAAGTCGGCACTCGCTCTGTGCTGCCCACGCAGAGTCAGAGCCCTGCCCCGCGCCCAGGCCTGCCCACTGCCGCTCCCCGCGCGCGGGCTCGCGTGGCCGCCCAGCGCCCCGTCCTCGCCTTCGACCAGGTCGCCCCGGGGCGCGGGGGGCGACGGCACCGGTCGGGAGCAAGGATTGCGGGGGGGGGGTAGATAGGCATTAACGGAATGCACGACAGTAGCGCGTAGGCTGGTTGAGCGTTTGGCGCATGCATATGAGCACCCACAGCGAAAGTGTCCAGCTAGTCTAGGTAGACTTCAGGCCGAAGGACGAGACGAACCGAAACGAAATGGGGGCACGGGTCCTGGCATGTTTCGCCGTCCTCGGGCTCTCGGGGCCCTCCACGGGCCCTGGAACTGTCCGAAAGCGACTCGGGATGACGAACTCGCAGGGAGGCCCCGAGGTCCAGGACCCGCTTCCCTCGGGACCCGGTTTCCCCATGCTGGGCAAAGGGGGGATGCGTCGACCTCGAACGGTTGATACATCGACGATGCATCTGCGATGCGTCGTTGATATCAGGGCGATGCATCGGCGACATCGGCGATGCATCGGCGATGCACAGATGATGCAAGGGGTGGTCTGCATCGACGGCATATCGACGATACTCGAAGAAGAAACAACGCCATCTAAAAATAATACGAAAACAAACAAAAAAACTCGGCGCTTCGCGCGGATTTCTTGGATCCGCGCTGGGCCCCCCGGCGGCGCTTCCAGCGCCGCCCCTGGCGCGCTCCACGTTCCAGGGAGGGGGGCCCAGCGCAGGTCCAAGAAATCCGCGCGGAGCCCAAAAAGTTTATGTATATGGCGTTTTCTCTTCCTCTAGATACATGGGCGATGTATCGGCCGTTCGAGATCCATGCATCCCCTCCCATGCCTATCCCCCCTTGTCGCTTCTCCTCAGTCGGAGCGGGCAGGGAAGAAGGGGGGCGTCCAAGAGCGGGGTGTTTTCCAGCAGCTGCGCCTCGCCGAAGGCCGTCTCCGAGGGTTCCTGGAGGCAGCGTTGGCTCTCCTCTCCCCTCCCCCGCCTCGTCCTGTCTGATGATGATGGTGATGACGATGGCAATGATGATCACGATGTGTGATGATGGGGATGATGAGAAAGTGCACGCTCGCAGATATCTCAACGTCCTGACAGGTTCAATTAAATACCATGTGCGTTTCGTGTGTCCTTGAACACCAATGTGCTCACGCGATCAGAAGCCAATGGTATTGGAAGGATTTCGACGTGCGCGTGCGGAGTATCTCAAACGTGTGGCCCAAATGGCATTTTTTGACAGAGTTGGTGGGCGCGCGATGGAGGTTGAACGTTTTCGACATGCGCGCGCGAGTGGTCCGCATGGTCTGATTTAACCGAACGGACGACACCTCTGTGGCTTTCAACAGATTCCAGCGAGTGTGCGCGCGCAGGATTCTGGCAAGGCGTTTGCTCAAAAGCCAACGGTGCTGGAACGAGTTCGCCGGTGCGCGTGCGGCGGCTCACGCGGGTGACCCCATTCATGAACACTATAGCGCCCGGTTCACCAAAGAACCCTTCCGGAGAACCCGCAGAACCCGGAGAACCTGGAGAACCCAAAGAACCCGGAGAACCCACGGAGAACCCGGAGAACCCCCGGAGAACCCGGAGAACCCCCGGAGAACCCCCGCCGCGGAGATCTCGGAGAACCCCCAGAGAACCCGGAGAGCCCCCGGAGAACCCGAAGAACCCCCGGAGATCCCGGAGAACCCCCGGAGAACCCGGAGAACCCCCGGAGAACCCCCGGAGAACCCGGAGAACCCGGAGAACCCCCGGAGAACCTTCGGAGAACCCGGAGAACCTCCAGAGAGCCAGGAGAATCCCCAGAGAACCCCCGGAGAACCCCCGGAGAACCCCCGGAGAACCCCCGGAGAACCCCCGGAGAAACCCGGAGAACCCTCCGAAAGCCCGGAAAACCCCCGAAGAACCCCCGGAGAACCCCCAGAGACCTCGGAGAACTCCCGGAGAACTCCCGGAGAACCCGGAGAACCCCCAGAGAACCCCCGGAGAACGCGGAGAACCCCCGCAGAACCCAGAGAACCGGAGAACCCGGAAAACCCCCAGAGAACCCCCGGAGAACCCGGAGAACCCCCGCAGAACCCGGAGAACCCCCGGAGAACCCGGAGAACCCCCGGAGAACCCGGAGAACCCCCGGAGAAGCCGGAGAACCCCCGGAGAACCCTTGGAGAACCCCTGGAGAACCCCCGGAGAACCCTCGGAGAACCCCCGGAGAACCCGGAGAACCCCCGGAGAACCCGGAGTTAACCCCCGGAGAACCCGGAGAACCCCCGGAGAACCCGGAGAACCCCCGGAGAACCCAGAGAATCCCCGGAGAACGCGGAGAACCCCCGAAAACCCGGAGAACCCCCGGAGAACCCGGAGAACCTCGGGAGAACCCCCAGAGAACCTGGAGAACCCCCGGAGAACCCGGAGAACCCCCGGAGACCCAAAGAACCCCTGGAGAACCCCCGGATCCCGGAGAACCCCCGGAGAACCCGGAGAACCCCCGGAAAACCCGGAGAACCTCCGGAAAACCCCCGGAGAACCCCCGGAGAACCCGCGGAGAACCCGGAGAACCTCCAGAGAACCCGGAGAAACCCCAGAGAACCTGGAGAACCCCCGGAGAACCCCCAGAGAACCCGGAGAATCCCCGGAGAACTCCCGGAGAACCCCCGGAGAACCTGGAGAACCCCCCGAGAACCTGGAGAATCCCCGGAGAACCTCCCAGAGAACCCGGAGAACCCCCGGAGAACCTGGAGAACCCCTGGAGAACCCTTGGAGAATCCCCGGAGAACCCGGAGAACCCCCGGAGAACCCGGAGAACCCCCAGAGAACCCCCGGAGAACCCGGAGAACCCGGAGAACCCTTGGAGAACCCCCGGAGAACCCCCGGAGAAGCCGGAGAACCCCCGGAGAACCTGGAGAACCCCCGGAGAACCCCCGGAGAACCCCCGGAGAACCCCCGGAGAACCCCCGGAGAACCCGGAGAACCCCCGGAGAACCCCCGGAGAACCCCCGCAGACCGGAGAACTCCCCGGAGAACCCCCGGAGAACTTGCAGAACCCCCGGAGAACCTGGAGAACTCCCGGAGAACCGCCGGAGAACCCGGAGAGTCCGTTAAGGTATTCGCGCGCCATTTCGATGACGCACCATATTTCAATGTGCCGCCCGACCCGACCCGCCCGCCAGGGTACTTGCGTGCCAATTCGATGATGCATCGTCCAACCCGACCCGCCCATTAGGGTATTCGCGTGCCATGTCGATGGGACATCACACTTTAATGTCCCGCCCGCCCGACCCGACCCGCCCGTTGGGGTACTCGCATGCCAATTCGATGATGCATCGTACTAGAATGTCCCGCCCGCCCGACACGACCGACCCGTTAGGGTACTCCCGTGCCCACTCGATGACGCACCATATTGTAATGTCCGGTCCGAACGACCCGACCCGCCCGTTGGGGTATTCGCGTGCCAATTCGACGACGCATCGTACTTCAATGTCCCGCCCGCCCGACCCGAGCCGCCCGTCAGGATTCTCGCGTGCCCACACGATGCCGCTTCATACTTTAATGTCCCGCCCGCCCGACACGACCCGCCCGTTGGGGTACTCCCGTGCCAACTCTATATGATTCACGATGCTTTAGAGTCCCGTCCGCCCAACCCGACTCGCGCGTTAAGGTACACTCGATGATGCTCCATACTTTAATGTCCCGCACGCCCGACCCGACCCGCCTGTCAGGGTAAGTGCGTGCCAACACGATGATGCAAGCTACTTTAATGTCCCGCCCGTCCGACCCGACCCGCCCATTAGGGTACTCGCGTGGCATCCCGATGGAGCATCCTACATTAATGACCCGCCCGTTGAGGTTTTCGCGTGCAAACTCGATGATACATCACACTTTGATGTCCCGCCCGCCCGACCCGACCATCGACCCGACCCGCCCATTAGGGTACTCGCGTGCCCACTCGATGATGCACCATACTTTAATGTCCCGCCCGCCCGACCCGACCCGCCCGTTGGGGTACTCGCGTGCCAACTCGATGATGCATCGTACTAGAATGTCCCGCCCGCCCGACACGGCCGACCCGTTAGGGTACTCCCGTGCCCACTCGATGACGCACCATACTTTAATGTCCGGTCCGAACGACACGACCCGCCCGTTTGGGTATTCGCGTGCCAATTCGACGACGCATCGTACTTTAATGTCCCGCCCGCCCGACCCGAGCCGCCCGTCAGGATACTCGCGTGCCCACACGATGCCGCTTCATGCTTTAATGTCCCGCCCGCCCGACACGACCCGCCCGTTGGGGTACTCCCGTGCCAACTCTATGATGCACCATGCTTTAGAGTCCCGTCCGCCCAACCCGACCCGCGCGTTAAGGTACTCGTGTGCCAACTCGATGATGCTCCATACTTTAATGTCCCGCACGCCCGACCCGACCCGCCTGTCAGGGTAAGTGCGTGCCACACGATGATGCAAGCTACTTTAATGTCCCGCCCGTCCGACCCGACCCGCCCATTAGGGTACTCGCGTGGCATCCCGATGGAGCATCCTACATTAATGTCTATCCCGCCCGACCCGACCCGCCCGTTGAGGTTTTCGCCTGCCAATTCGATGATGCATCACACTTTGATGTCCCGCCCGCCCGACCCGACCATCGGCCCGACCCGCCCATTAGGGCATTCGCGTGCCCACTCGATGATGCACCATACTTTAATGTCCCGCCCGCCCGACCCGACCCGCCCGTTGGGGTACTCGCGTGCCAATTCGATGATGCACCATACTTTAACGTCCCGCCCGCCCGGCCCGGCCCGCCAGTCAGCGTACTCGCGTGCCCACACGATTCTGCTTCATACATTAATGTCCCGCCCGCCCGACCCGTCCCGCCCGTCAGGGTACTTGCGTGCCAATTCGATGATGCACCATACTTCAATGTCCCGCCCGCCCACCCCGACTCGCCCATTAGGGCACCCGGAAAACCCGGAGAACCCGGAAAACTCGGAGAACCCGGAGAACTCCCGGAGAACCCGGAGAACCTCTGGAGAACCCAGAGAACGCCCGGAGAACCCGGAAATC